GGACACCGCCATTAAGGACTTGTTACGGTCCAAGCGGAAGCTGAAGAAACGGAGTAAGGACCCCAGAGCTGCGAGCAAGAAAAAGGTCAGGTTCAGCACCACCGAGACGCAATTCCTGGATCAGCTGGGCGGCTTCCAGAAAGATTGGAAGGACAAGAGCCCGCACTTGTTGAAAAGCTGCCTCTCAAAGCCCAAAAACGATGGCCAGGAGAGGCCGGCAAGGAAGCCCTGGGGCGTCTTCTGCAGAGAAACCGAGAGAACAAAGGCCACGGGCGCCAGGCCCGGGGACGAGCCCCCCGCCCTCCGGTTCCGGAGGAGAGCCTCCGAGGCGGCTTTGTTCTGCAGCGAAGCCGAAGCCGGTGGACTCCAAGGGCCGGCCCCCAGCCCCAGTTCCCTCTCGGACGACAGCAGCTCCGTGGACAGCGACGACAGCATCGAACTGGAGATTCGGAAGTTTCTGGCCGAAAAGGCCAAGGAGTCCGTGAGCGGTGCTGAAATTCAAGGAAGGGACCTGTCTGCTCCAGGCCCCGGGGCCAGGCCTGCACCAGAGCTGCCGGGCAGGAGGGGGCCACCCGCTGCCACAGCCCCACCCGGCGTGTGCACACGCAGCCAGCGGGCCGCGGGGAGGCCCTCGGTCCCCGGCGGGTGGAGCAGCCCCTGCGCCGAGCAGGCCGGTCTGCCTGTGGCCCTGGCCAGAGCAGAGCTGGCAGCACCCAGGAGCACCGGCGGCACTGTGTCTGCCAGGGGCTCGCCAGCCGGTCGGAGAAGCACGCTCGCTCACAGAGACCAGAGCCCGCGGGGGCCCGAGCCTGCTGCTGCAGACGGGGCTTTCGGGCCGCTGCCGAGCAGCGCGGAAGCCGGCTCCCGGGCCGAGGGCCCCGTGGGTGCCTTTCCCGGGCCCCCTCGAAGCCGAGTCCCACTGACTCGGAACCCAGGAGCCAAGAGGGAGGTCCCCCCAGCCAGCCTCACCCTGCCATGGGGTGACTTCGCCCCACAGAGTCGACCACAGAGCACGTGGGCCCTGAGCCCGGAGGGCAGAGGGGCAGCGTGGAAGGGCGGCCTCGGGAGCGAGCGGGAAAAGGGGCCGCAGGGCCAGAGCTCGGCCGGCCTCGCCCTGGACCCCAAGAAAGGCCTGCCCTTCGCGGGCTTCGCTCCGCTGCTCTCCACGCAGGCCTTCCACTTTGGGAAGAGCGTCTCCTGGGGGGGCAAGCCGGCCGGCCTCTTCAGCGGCCCCCTGAGCCTGCCCCTGCAGGGCCCGTCCTTCTCGGCCTTCCGAGAGAGCCCGGCCGGCCGCAGCCCGCTGTTCGGAGGCCCGCACTTGTTCCTGAAGAAGGAAGGCGGACACTGGCCGAGCAGGAGGTCCCAGGCGGGGCTCAATTTGCACAACAGGAGGAGCTCGGGTGCAGAGGAGAACCTTTTAGACCTGCGGTATAGACGGAGGGTGGTGGACAGAGATGATGAAGACCCGGAGGCCTTGGGCAGCGACGCCAGTGAATGCAGTGACACCTCCGTGGAGGAGGGCGGCGGCCCCTTGGCGCAGGGCAAGGTCCTCAAGCTGTGAGGACGCTTCCTGGTCCACAGCGCATTCGTGGAAAGCACACACATGTGCGTGCGTCCATGTGTGGAGACGCTGCTGTGACCAGGAGAGGAGACTGGAAGGCACTCTACGTGGCCCTGTACATATGTACACTAACATGAAACGTTTTTATTTAACACACGTGTCCTGGTAAATATGATTTTTGTAGCTTTTTTGTAAATTATTTAAAGTGTTGTAAAAAATATTTTTGGAAAATAGAGTTGTCCGGTTTTGTAGGGCGTTCCTAACCGCAGTTCCCCTGTCTCCGTGCAAGTCTGGGTTCTGACCGGCACGGCCCGAGGCTGAGGCTCCGGGTTGGGCGCCGGTGGGAATGTCCAGTTGTGCCTGCAGCTCAAGCCTGAGGAAGGCAGCAGTTGATGCCCCCTCGCCCCGAGAGTCACCAAAATGCCCCCCAGGGTCTCTGTTGGGACATTTCTGGACGCACTTCTTATAGAAAGGACCCCCTGGTCCCAAGAGGCCAGAGCATGTCTTCTGAACACTGCAGTCACAGCCTTCGACTGCGAGCTGTCGCAAAGCACAATGGCCAGCACACTGACCGCTCCTGTTGCCTGTAGAAAGCCCTGGGGAGATCTCGGCGGCAGGTCCCTCCAGTCTAGTCCTGAAGCCCCTACTGTCTCACGTCCAGTCCTGGTCAATTGCTCCATGATTCTAACAGCTCAGTAAACCTCTTTTTATATGGGAGCTACTGTTCTTCATTTTTAGTCACGGTTCTAAAAGGTAACAGACAACCTGTGCGTTTGAAATGTTCTTTTCTTGTTCTGTGCCAGCGAATAAGCAGAGTGGCTGTACGAGTTTTGGTGCCCAGACGCCTTGAGCGCCGACGGCGTGCAGAGCCCGGTATCCTCCAGGGAGGAGCCAGTCGGGGTGTGCTCCAGCAGCTGAGCAGATGCTGCGGCCGGCTTTCTGAGGGGCTGCCTCCCCGTGTGCAGGACGAGAAGGACCGTTTCCCACACTTGGGCCTATTTTCCCTGCTCCCGTCCTCTCCCAGGGCCCTCAGGGTCTGAGCACAGAACAGGAGAGAGCAGAGCGTCCTGTGCCTTCCGCCCTGAGGCTGCTGTAGAGACATGGACACCTGTATCTTGGGGGCTGGGGGCTGGGCACTGACTGGTCACAACGTTTACATGCAACTGTCCGGCACACTTTCACCCGTTGTCCAGTTTCACGACTCGCCGTTTCAATTTAGCCATGACGGGCCTGGAGCAAGGATTCTTTGCAGCGAGTGCAGTTGGCATTCTCACTTGCAAGTGACTTTTCTACACATTGTGCACCCCTGGGCTTTAGCAGCAATTCACTTGGGTACCCAAATGCAGACATGCACCGGCGCCCACGGTCAGTGTCTGCTGGGTCGGACGCTGCGCCGAGGGGCCCTGTGGACTCTGGGACCGTCCAGTGCCTGCATGATGTGTGTTTGATATCTCTGTTGTTGAATATTTGTTCACATAAGTGCTTCCAGGAAAAGCAATTCATGTAACCCATGCTTTAAATTTTATTTAATTTTTAAGGAGTGCTTTTAACACTCGAAAACAAAAATCAGCTTGTTTTGTATATAAGAACTGTTTTTTTAATGCTAATAAATCCAGCGCTGCTCATGAATCAGTTTATGCAGTTTGTCCTCTGCACAGTGGCCTTGGCAGGAACTGACATGAGAACCCAGTGCCTGGGACCTGCGGGGTCCCGCCTCGCCGCCAGTGCGTCTGGCCCTGAGCACCTCTCGGGTCCTGCTGCCCATCCCAGTCTCCCCCACACCGGGACCCTTCACACTTTCCCCTCTTCCTGCCTCCCAAGTTCCCGTGGCCTCTGCGACACGAGCCCCGTTCCCTGTGGTTCCTGGGCACGCAGGACAGCCTCCTGCATGCTGCCTTCCATCAGCTCTGGTTAGCGTGTGCCGACCTAACACACATGTCCAGGACAATGCACGTGTACACACGTCTGCCTTGACGTGCACAGCAGTCAGCAGGCGGCTTACGTTCGCGGTGTATGATTCACTTACTGCAGAGAACGCTCCAGGAGCCTGCCTTCCTCTTCATGGGGCATGCTGGTCCATTGTGAGCTTACGAAAAGTGGTGTGTCCTGACTGGGGTGGACTCAGAAACGCCCAGGTGTCCACGCACATTGGCGGCAGCGTGCCCTCCCATTGAGCACTCTGCCCTGCTGCCTGTGGGGTCTGGCACTGTTGTCCCCAGCGAGACGCTGAGCAAACTCCCCTCCTGCTTGGGGTTAAAATGCGAGCCCTGTGCAGAGTCTCCTCTTGGAGACCGTGAGCCTAGGGCACCGGAACCTCCTCTTTTCGTGCCTTCAGCAGTAGTTTGGCGCCTTTAAGCATCAGCTGAAGGGTGCTTCTGTTCATACGTGCCTTGTTTCACAAACGGGACAGAAACTTGATTGTGCCGCGTCATCCCTGGGCTTGCCGACAGGCCACGTTGTGGGACGGCTTTTACTTCCGTACCCCACACTCCAGTTGGACTCTGCATGTGCTGGGGCCAAGGTCAGAGGTTCCCCTGCACCCTCTCTGGAAAGGGGGCTGCAGCGGGAGTGCTGTCGAGGAGCGATGGCTGGCTGCACGTTGGCAGCCCCGTGCAGCACCTCCGCGGACCCAGCCTGACCATGCAGCCGCGTATCACAGCATCCTGGAGCTGCTGCGTGAGACACAAATGTGCACCCACTTGTGGAAGGAGAGTCTTGGGTGGACGATATGTTGCTAAATCCAGCTGTCATGAGTAAGCCCTAGAGACAGGCCCCACCCAAGGGCCCCCGCACCTCCCAGGAAGTGGGGTGGTGGGTGTGTGCCTGGGGCCAGGGCTTCATTCCATTTAATGCAAAGAAGGGGAAGAGGCCTGACTTTAGGAGCTGTCTAGTGCCCTGGCCTAGGGTGTCCCGGGGCCACAGTGTCTCTGCAGGAATTGCCCCCTTTCCCGGAAGAATGAGCGTGTTTCAGAAGTCCCAACAGAACAGGAACGTGAGTGGGGAGAGGGAAAAAGCCCGTGGTGAATGTTCGATGTTCGCCAACCACATCTCCACAGAGAGGAGGCTCTTCCGTGGGGGGAGTCCTCCTCACTCTTGCTCAGAATCTGAACTGTCAGATGGCAGGTTTTTCCAACCTGAGATACGCTTGCCGTGGGAAGTCAGGCAATAAATTTAAATACCAGCACCTCATCTCCTCACATGAACGTATAAGAGGTATTGCCACCCTGATGCCCCCTCCCCGAAATTAACTGAGGGGCCTGTTTAGGGCGGGTAAAGAGCACAGATCCTGTGGTCGGTATCTGCAGACCACAGCCGGGTTCACGCCAGGCCAGGCTGCTGGGGACGGGGACCGAGCAATGGTCGCAGAATGTCTACGGCTCCTGGCATTTCGTGTGCTGGACCTGGAGACTTTTTTTTTCAATGTCAATATATTTTACTGTATATTTGAAACTGTTTATTCTAATTGACTACAGTTAAAAGGTGACTGATAAAAATAAAGAAATGTAAACAAAAATATACTTCGAGTGAGAAGTTAATGGTTTTAAGCCAACCCAGCATCTAAATTAAGCGATTAGGAAAGTGTTATGAAACTTTACTTTTCAGCGTTTCATTTCAGAGTGGAATAAAAAGGCCAGATAAAGCAAAGACCTGCTCGCGGACGAGGAGACGTTTCAGGAATTGCCGTGCGCTTTATTAATACTTGGTGGAAACGGTGTTTGTCACGCTAAATGCTTCCATCGCCTCTTCTGTAGCTGTTCTAATGGGATTGACGACTGAAAGAACCAAGTGCAAAGGTCAGAATGGTGACGGGGTGTCATTTTCCTTCCACTTCAACCATCTGTTCCGTTCGCCATAACCAGACGGCAAGCGGCTTCTCACAGTGCTCACTTAGACCTGTCAAGCTAAACTTTTCTTTTCCCGTCAACACATAAAGATCCCAGCTTGAAAATATGTTAAAAAGATAAAGTTCACGAAATTTATAAATCACTGGAGAGCCTGCATGACTTGTGCAAATACGTAGAAAGTTAGGGCCAGGTCTGTGGGGTCAGAGACTGATGACCTCGCCCCTCCCAGGACATCCCCCAAGGCGGGTCGAGCCCAGGACCGGCCTCGGGCGCCTCCTTTGGACCCTAGTTTTCCCATCTGAAAACAGACGTACAGGAGTCTGACTCACCCTAGGTGTGAGCGTCGGATGAGGTGAAGACACCAAAGCCCTTTGAAAACTTCAAGACGGCAGACGATGGAGAGGAGGACGGCCACCGCGCACGGCTCCCGGGGCCCAGGCGCCAGGACACGGGGATGGCAGCTTCAGCCGGAGACGGTCACTGAGTTCCCGGGAAGATGGGCATGTATGTTACAGCAAAGGTATTTCTGTTTTCCATCTTTGCAGACACTTATTTCATGTGGAATAAATGCAGAGTCTAACTTTACATCAACTCATCAGCAACTGTTGCAGAAGCTGCAGTTTATTGGCTGCGGCCCACTAAGGCACTCGCTGCCTGATTATGGTGCCGGAATTAACTTCTCCGAGCCCAGCGAGCTTGGCATCTGTTTCGTTGGTCAACTCGGGCTAGACTGATGCCCCCAGCCCGAGCCTGGATAGCGCCCACAGCAGAGAACGGGGGTCTTGTCCGGGTTCGTGGCCTCTTGCGTGCCTTTGGCTCCACGGAAGCTGTCTCCTTGCACCGGGCAGGTGCTCAGCTGCTCTGAGTCAGGAGGCGAAAACAGTTACTCGGCCTGATGGCTTTATCCTCCATGGCGCTGTTAACCTGCTTCACAGTCAGCTGACAAGGGAGGAATTCAGTTGTTTTGGTGAGTTTGGTTGATAAGGCGTTCTTTTTCTTTTTTTTTTTATTTCAACAGAGGCCAAACAGAAGGATTCTTGGTATTTTGGGCGGAGTGGTTTTTGTTTGTTTGTTTGTTTTTGCTGAGGAAGATTCGCCCTGAGCTGACATCTGTTGCCAGTCTTCCTCTTTTTTGTATGTGGGTCGCTGCCACAGCATGGCCACTGACAAGTAGTGTAGGTCCACACCCAGGAACCAAACACAGGCCGCCAAAGCAGAATGCACCAAACTTAACCACTAGGCCACACGGCTGGCCCTGTATTTTGGTACTTTTAATGAAGCGTTGTAAAAACTAATTTTCAGTTTGATGCCTGGAATCTCTGCTGGTTTTCCAGCTAAGGAGAAGGACGTTACAGACACCTCTCTTCAGGCTCAGCTTTGTGTCTTATTTTCGGGCTGGCCCCGTGGCCGAGTGGTTAAGTTCGCGTGCTCCACTGCAGGCGGCCCAGTGTTTCGTTGGTTCGAATCCTGGGCACGGACATGGCACTGCTCATCAAACCACGCTGAGGCAGCGTCCCACATGCCACAACTAGAAGGACCCACAATGAAGAATATACAACTATGTACCGGGGGGCTTTGGGGAGAAAAAGAAAAAAAATAAAATCTTAAAAAAAAAAGTATATTGATTTTCTCTGGAAACCATTTCCACTGCAAATTGGACATTAAGAATGTGGCCAAAATGTTTACTTTTGTGTATTAATAATAAAATGTTTATAATGAAGAAATAACCCATCATGGTGTTTAATTTCTCCCCAATTTGTATGTGAGTAAAATCTCTTTGGGTAAAATCTCTGTAAACAAGGTATCATCAATGGTCTGCAACAGTGATTTCTTCCGGCTGGTTTCAGCCCTTTCCAAACGCCCTGCAATGAGCGCGTCTTGCTCTCATGAAGGAAGTGGGGAGTCTCTGTCTGAAAGATGCAGGCTGTCACAGAGAACTTAAGGACCCTCGAGACCACAGTGGACACTGATTGAGGACTAACCACTTAGAGATAAAAATCCACTTAATGGAGTTATTACCCCCACCTGAGAAAAAGGTTATTCCCTGCCTGCTTTTTTTTCAACTTGTTATTGAAAATTTAAAGTGAACACAAAGTGGAGAACTCCCATGCACACACCACCCCTTCCACACGGGCCACCGTGCCAGCCGTGTTCATCTGCTCTGCCTCCCGCCCTGAGCCCTTATTCGTGGCCGGAGGATGTTCACTGTCACTCCACGTGTACCGTCGCCTCATGAATCGGGGTGGGTAGTGGCCCCCGCCTGCCCCAGCCTGGAGTTTTCCTGACAGGGTCTGCTCTCCCCCTTCCTGGCCCAGCCCTGGTCCATGCCCCCCGCAGGGCATCATCCCCTCTGGCCACGGCCTCGTGTGTTTGTGCAGATTTTGGCCAGGGTGCTTTGGAGAGACAGGAAACCTCTCCATAACTTGTCATGAGCATAGAAATGGCTCCCAAATAAAGACGCAGGTGGAGTTATCCAGGCATTCGGGCCGCGATGGGGGTCCCCCGACTCGCACAGGCCTGCGCCTGGAATACAGATGTGTCAGGGATTCAGGGTGTGGCAGCACTTTTAATGGAAACTCAAGCCGTGAGCATCTTTTCCATCTAGATGTAAAATAGAGAAAGCAGGACATTACAGCCCCGTTTGCATACTTTTCTGATCTAGAGAGGAAAAATACTATCAGGGAAAGCACTGAAGGCTGAAGGCCGCATCTTTACAGTTGGGCAGATTATCAAAGATCCGGGATGACACTTCTCCAGGTGGCCACTGCTGGAGTCGGGACCCGGGAGTGGTTCTCCAGCCACCCTCAGTGGCAGATGGACGGCTTGTTGACGTTGTAACTGGGGTGGAAGTTGAGCCGGTCGTAGGAGGTGATGTAGTTGTCGGGACCCGTCACGATGCTCTTCTCCATGAAGACGTTGAAAGTATTGTTCTGGAACATTCCACCTGCTGCAAGTTGTCTGGAAAATTTATTCGAATTTGGATAAAATACTTTCTGGAAGTGAAAAGGGAACACAAGGATTAATGATGTATTATAATACTCTTCCACAATCAGTCGTTAGGTATTTTTGGAAGAAAAATAAGAATTTGTAAGGAAATGTCATCTCCATTCCTAGGAAGAGAGAAGCCAAGTAGGCAGGATGGCCTGGTTGGCCCCGGACCCTCCCGATTTATGCCTGATGTCCGGGAATAATTACTGATCATGCGTTCTTTCACATGGAGAGAAGATCAATCCCCTGGGTGTGGTTATGAACATTCACTTGGGGTCGGGCCCAAAGCACCCCCCGTTCTGCTTTTACCCACTGTGACACTAGGGCCAGTTACTGGACCTCTCTGAACTTCAGTTTCCTCTTCTGTGGAAAAGAGAGAACCTCACCATCAGTGGGCTGCAACCTTGACCATATATTAGAATCCTCAGTAGGTCCTGAAGGAAATTCCGATGCCCACACCCCACCAGCCAAGGGGTCTGGGGAGGGGCTGCCCTAGTGAGAAAAAGGTTATTCCCTGCCTGCTGTTTTTCTAACTTTTTATTGAAAATTTAAAATGAACACAAAGTGGAGAACTCCCATGTACACACTGCCCCTTCCACACGGGCCGCCGTGCCAGCCGTGTTCGTCTGCTCTGCCTCCCCGTAGCGAGGTGGGGGTGTGGGGAGGACACAGATGAGGCCACGAGTGTGTGCAGGCACCCAGCGGGAGGAATTAGTCCAGCAACACAGCATCATCAGGTGACCCTGAGATTTCAGACCTCAGTGGCCGGGGCGGCTGCCAGACATGTGACGCTGGACTGGGAACTGTGCTTAGGGCTGCCTCGTGCCAAGCAGGTCGCCTGGCGTTCTGTCTCCTTGGCAGGAAGCAAGTGGAGAGAGAAATGGCTTCCGTGCATTTTCTTCAATAGACTCTATCTTTCAGAGCGGTCTCGGCCTCCAGAGAAGCTGGGCAGCACAGTACCCCCCCCCAGCCCCCCGCACAAGCACACAGCTTCCCTCGTCGGGGCAGCTTGCATTCGTTGGTACATTTGTTACAGCTGAGCCAACATCGATATGTTATTATTAACTAAAGTCCACAGTGTAGTTAGGGGGTCACTGGTTGTGTCTACACTCGTGGGTTTGACCAGTGTATAAGGACATATACCCACCAGTACAGTATCACACAGAATAGCGGCCTTCAGCATATTTCTCTAAATGCAAACAAAGCATCATTATTTTCTGTTACCACGTGGCAGTAAACACTCAGAGCTGCTCAATGAGTCTCACGACCACACTCAGGTCAAGAAACTGACAGCCGGGCTCCAGACGCAGGGGGAGAGGCGGCAGGAAGCCCTCCTGACCTCCTCAGGAGCGCCGGGAAGGACCGGCGCAGGGCCAACCCCGCTGCTCACGAGGCAAACCTTCTCTCAAGGTCTTTTTTATAAAAGCCAACGTTGGGACCCATGCTAGTGAGCGAACATGTTGGTCTTTTCCGTGGAAATACCTCATCCCCAGGGAAAGTCTGGAATCATTCAGTTCTGGGAGAGTGACCTTCAGAGGCTCTAGAAACTTCCTAGGTAAATAATCTCCTTCTCATGAGCGCTCTATCTCCCATGCAAAACAAATAAATAACAATTTTCCAGATCTTTTAAAATGATGAATACTCCAGAAGAACAAACAACAAGACTGTCACCCCAAAGTGGGTGGCCCTTCTGTCCTGGGTACCCAGAGGATGCGTACACTGGCCCCTCTGGCCCTCCAGCTGGACCCAGCAGGGTTGTCCGGGGGTTCTAGGAGGGCCCCCTGGAGTGCGAGGTCCATCTCAAAAGGGGTTGGGGTTCCCCAGAGGCGCAGACTCCTGCATCCACCGACTCGCGACCTGTGCGATCGGCCAGTCGGCCTCTTCAGGTCAAAGGTTAATCTCTCATAAAATACAGTATCATTCCAGAAAGAAAACAGTTCTTTATGTATTTGCCTCAAAACGTACTGCCTTAAGCCGCAGAAGTTGGTTGTGTGTGTCTGTGTGAACAGGGCCAGCCTTTGGCACGTCACCAGCAAGTCTACCCGCACTTTTTTCATCCATAAACATTTCATTGCTAAATTCATTCGTTCGTTTATTTCTACCATGCCTTGTTCCAAAAGCACTTGAGGGTACCCTCCCCTTTCGTGATGCTGGAACTTTGGGCCCCTCCCCACCGCCCCATGATGCGTGGCCCTTCTGAGAAGCCCAGGGTTTGGGCCTCGTCCTGGAGACACCGCCTGCACACACGGCCCCCCTTTGCTTACCGGCATCTCATGCACCGTGGGGGCCCGGCTCCCGTAAGTTTGGTTACTGGTCCTGTACACTGAGGCGGGCTCCTTGCTCCTGGGAGATGAGAAGCAGACCCTATTTCCCTTCATTCATCTAACTCTGCCCACGCCACAGCCTTCGAGTCTGGGTGGTGAAGCTTGGTTGGAAACGCCTGGCGTTGCCGATGCGGCCGCGCATGTGGGCTCCCGTGGTGAGCAGGGCTGGCCTCCCCGACCCCTGTGCTCACCTCTGCCCTTGCCCTTCCCCAAGGCAGGCCAAAGCCCTGAAGAGCTCCCAGATGGGAGGTGCCGGCCCTCAGCCACAGCGGGGCCCGGGCCCACACTGTCATTTCCTGGGTGGGTGGGCAGCGGTGGCTCAGCCTCCAGGCCCTGCCCCCCGAGGCGGCCCCTCTACCTCTGGGCCTCCCTGAGAACACCTCCCTGCGGTCTCTAACAGTGACACTACCAGTCAAGCAGCTTAACTGAGTGGCCTGTGGGTTTAGACACCCCAGCTCTGCTTCACGCTAACTATGAGACCTGGGGCAAGATGCTGACTTTCTCCATCCCAATGGCCTCTCCTGGAAATGAGGACCAGACCAGACCCCACACTACAGAGCTGCAGGGGGACTACAGGAGGGAGGGCGGGGAAGGGGTCCCCACCCCACCCCCGTGTCCTAGAGTTTGCAGTCGCTGGAACGCTCACAGCTCACTGACCGGCAGCGTGCCGCCGGGGGTGCTGCCCATTGCCTTCTGCAGAGGGTCCTCTCAGCCTAGACGGGGGAGGAGACTTACCCTGCCCCGAAGCGGGGGAGCTGGGACCAGAGCTGGGTTTTGCGACTTCCCGGAGTGGGAGGGGATGATCACCCACCGCCCCCCTGCACCTCCAGGAGGCCCACTCGCTGGTGTGCCAGGCCTTCCATGTCACTTTGGCAGCTCATTTGGTGGCTGATAGTTGACCCCCTTTGGACCGGGGTGCCAGGGCAGGCTGGGACCTGGGGGACTCTCGCATGCAGGGTTAGATGGGCTGCCCGCTGGACCAGGGGGCCACTCTCGTCTGTGTATGCCAGGTAGACCCTCACGGGGCTCCACCGTCCTCACCTGTAGCCCCGAAACCACGCGGGGTTGTTGAACCTGAGCGGCAGGTCCTCGTGTACACAGTAGTAGTCGCTGGTTTTCTCCGGGGGTGCCTGGGCCTTGGCCTCCACGGGCTCGGCGCACTCTTGGGGGTTCCCGTCCGACATTTCGCCTCCGTCCACTCGAGCTGCTGAGTCGGGGAAGAAACAGAAGGCAGGAAACAGCCTCTCCGCAGCCGGGGCCCCGCGGGTCGGCGCGGCGTCCTGTTGCTAAGCGACGGCCTGGTCACCTGACCGGTAGGTCGGGTCCTTAAAGGCGCTGCGCCTGCCAGGCCAGGGCTCCCCTGCCGGCCCCTGGGGCTGAAATGGGAAGTCTAGAACCTTCCAGGGAGAGTAAGGAAGCGCCTGGGTTGGCCCGGGGTGATGGACTACTTCCTGGTCTTGTGGTGCTGGGTACCCGAGGTGCCTTCGGCGCCCACCCAGCGCGGTCCGATGGCATCTTTCGGTTATCAGCGCTCATCCTGCGCCAGACGTACGCGAACATTTTCTTAAACGCAGAGGAAAGCGGATTCCGGGGCAAATGAGACCCCAGGTCCTGAGACTTCATCACAAATTGCCGGAGTTAAATTTCTCCAAGGCCGCTCGGCAAGCAACGATCTGATTGTACTGTGGCCGCCAGGCGTGCTCCGTGACCCCGGGGCATGCCCCCAGTACCCGGACTCTTAATTTAGACTCCAGATTTGCCTAACTTTATGGAGTCTTCCTAAGCCAAATATCGTTTAAAAATTAAAAACGATTTTGGAGAGCGAGACGTTGTATTGGACTGGCCGGACGCGAGGAGGGTCCCCATCGCCCGGCGGGTTCCCGCGGGGACGGCTCGTGGGCCTCCTCGGCCGCCGCGCCTTGTGCAGGGAGGGGGCGAGCTGGGGCGCGAGGGGCCCGCCCTCAGCGCTGTTGCCAGAGTCGGGGCGAGGACTCTGGAAAAGGGGACAGGGCGAGGGGACGTGCCCCGCAGGCCCCGCACTCGCCCCGGCCCCGGCGCCCCCAGCACGGCGCGCGCGCTCCGAGCCGGGCAGCCGGCGGGGGCGCCCGGGGCGGGGTGGCCGGCGGGGCCCCGGGGGCGGACACGGCCGGGCGCGCAGTGGCCCCTCCGGGCCTGCAGGCGGCGGTGCGGCGGCGGCGCGGGCCGCGGCGGAAGGAAGCGCCGCTCCGGGAACCGCGCGCCCGGCCGTGTCCGCCCGCCGCGTCCGCGCCATGGCGCCCGGCCCGGCCCTGCCCCGGCTGCTCGGCGCGGGTGAGCGCGCCCGGGGAGCCTGGGGCGGGCGCGGGGCCGGGACCCTGCTCCCGGGGCCCGCAGGCACGCTGCCCGGGCCGGGCGCGAGCACCGGAGGGGGGGGTCACGGGCCGCAGGCGGGCGCGCGCCACGAGTCGCCTCTCTCCGCAGGTGTCCGGCCCAGGCCGCAGCTCCTCACGCGGACGACCCCCGGGCCGGCCCGGCCGAGCGGCAGGACGCTGGGAAGCGCCGCGGCCCCCGCCGTCAGCGAGCCCGAGGGCGACAGCGGTGAGGCTCTCCGGACCAGCGTGGGGTCCAAGGGACGCGCCGGGCCTCCGCGGTTTGGGTTGAAACGCCGGCCCCCAGGAGTCCTGAGGGCCCTCGCGGAGGGGTCCGGCCGAGGGAGGGAGGAGGGGCGGCCCCCGAGCCGGGTGTTGCGCGCACTTAAAGCAGGCCCGGAGCCACCCCTCGTGGGTCCCAACTCTGACCCCGCCCTCTGAGCAGCTCGGTCGTCCGCCCAGCTGAGAACGGGGCCCGGGCCTGCACCCGCCCCCGGGTGGGTGGGAGAGACCACCGTGGTGCAGCACTGGGACTCCTTTCCCAGTGAGGACTGACGGGGTGTACCCAGGAGCAAAGCCGTGGTCAGAGCCCGTCCTCTGCCCCGAGGCTCCTGAAAAGACCCGGTGGCCCTGGGCACCTGCTTCGGGGCCTCTCCTCCCCTGGAGAGTTGGGAGCAGAGGAGCGGGAGACCACAGCATCCTCTCCTCCCTGTCCTAGGCCTCAACGATAGGATCCTCAGGGAGCCCCTCAAGCACTCCGACTTCTTCAACGTCAAGGAGTTGTTTTCCGTGAGAAGTCTCTTTGACGCCCGGGTGCACCTGGGACACAAAGCGGGCTGTCGGCACAGGTAGATGCCAGCCCTGGCTGAGTGGTGGTTCCCCTGGGACAGGGGGCTCTCCTGCCTTGGGGTCCAAGGCCACCCTTTGTAGTGGCGTGTGTCAGTTTGAGTACAGCCCCCTCTTCCTCCCATGGGGTCACCGAGTCCCGAGGAGGGCAGGAGCTTATCCTCAGACGCTGCAGGGCCCTGTGCGCTGGACCACTGACCTTGGAGTGAGGCTCAGGGCCCTAGGTGGGGACGGACCTGCTGCTGGCAGGTTCACAGACAAAGGCCAGCAGCCGGGCTCGTGGACTAGGAGAGGGTGAGGGGGCTGGCCCGGCCACTGCATCTCGAGGTCACCGAGTTCACGCAGAGGAGCAGTTAAGTGGCCTGATCTTTTCACGGGTGGTTCTGGCCGCTGAGGCTGGATTGGAGGGGGGGCGGAAGGTCAGGGAGGGAGGGGTGTAGATGGCAGGGAGGCACTGCGAGCAGAGCCGGGGCTCCAGGGGTGGAGGTGCCAGGTGGGGCAGAATATGGTGCAGGTGTCACTGTCCTTTACCGGGATGACCAAAACAAAGGGAGGCCTGGGGGACATCAGGAGCTTGGGTCCTGTGAGGGGTGACCTTTTGGCCACCCCAGTGCAGATGCCACACAGCAACTAGGAGCAGCAGCCTGGGGCTGGGGCGCCACCACATCAGTGGGACATGTAGGAGCATCTGGAGAGGAGGGTCGAGAAGAGAGGAGGTCCCGGGGGCGGCAGCCCTGGGCATCCAGACGTTTCGGAGTCCAGGAAGAGGCCGTGTGGCTGGGGAGCAGGGAGCGCGGGAGGGTGTGGTCTGCTGCGGGATGCGGCTGAGAAGCCCTGGGAGGTGAGGGCAGGACAAGGCCCATGGCTGGGGCAGGAGGGAGGTCGTGGGTGCCTTGGGCAGAGTGTGCTGAGAGGAAGGGACAGAATCCAGACCTGAGGGAGGACGAGGGAGCTGCTGAGGAGCAGGGGAGTCTCTCCTGACCCCACGCCCTGCCCAGGGCCAGCAGTGGGGCCCTGCCCTCGGGTTCCCCTCCCAGGCCTGACTGGCCCTGCCCCAACCCCTCACACATTGGCCCAGGGCACCCCCTCTGCTTTGTCGGTCCCTCAGCCCAGCCTCAGAGGGACCTGGGTCGAAAAGCCTCAAACACAACAGTCATAATGACAGAAGCGACCGCTGAATCAGAGCACTGGGCACAAAGATTGAACATCCAGACGTCCACGTGGGAGCAGTTCTGTTAGCATCCCCATGTGATGGGGGACACATTCAGAGGGTTAAGCTGTTTGTCCAAGCCTTGGAAGTGGCTGGCTACCCAGGCCTGCCCTGTCCACTCCCAGCCGTGACTCAAGGGACAGGGGTCCTCACTGCCGTCCGTGGTCACGGCAAGGGGCGGCACATCATGCAGCCCTGGGGAAGGTGTGGCCCTGGAGGGCACAGGCCTCCCTGCCCGAGTGCCCCCCCAGAGGAGCCTGGGGGTTGCTAGTGGGTCTGGCTGAGAAGGGGCCAGTGGGGTTGGCCACGCGAGCCCCATTCACTCTCGCCTCGGTGGGGTCTCCGGCAGGTTTATGGAGCCGTACATCTTCGGGAGCCGCCTGGACCAGGACATCATTGACCTGGAACAGACTGCTGCGCACCTGCAGTTGGCCTTGAATTTCACCGCCCACGTGGCCTATCGTCAGGGCATCATCCTGTTCGTGGGCCGCAACCGGCAGTTCTCGCATCTGATCGAGAACACGGCCCGGGACTGTGGCGAGTACGCCCACACCCGCTACTTCAAGGGTGGCCTGCTGACCAACGCCCCCCTGCTCTTGGGCCCCATGGTCCGCCTGCCAGACCTCATCATCTTCCTGCACACACTCAACAATGTCTTTGAGCCCCACGTGGCCGTGAGAGACGCAGCCAAGATGAACATCCCCACGGTGGGCATCGTGGACACCAACTGCAACCCCACCCTCATCACCTACCCCGTCCCCGGCAACGACGACTCGCCCCCCTCCATCCAGCTCTTCTGCAGGCTCTTCCGGACGACCATCAACCGCGCCAAGGAGAAGCGGAGGCAGGTCGAGGCCCTGTACCGACTGCAGGGCCGGGCGGGGGCTGAGGGCCGGAGTCCAGCCAGCGCTCCTTCCCCGGGAGCATAGGCCAGGCTGGACTTGGGTCATTCCCCGTGACACGCCTGCTCTCCTCCTAAATAAAAACAGCAGCCAAACCTGTTCCTAAGCCGGGCAGCCCTTCCCTCCCCCAGCCGTGGTCCTTAGCGCGTTTCCAGTCCCTCCAGGCACTGGGTCCCTGCCATTAGTAACGGTTCTCAGCAGCTGCCCTCCCAGGGCTCCACTTGGCCCCCTGGGGCCCAGCAGGCACACAGAGGCAAGTGGCCTGTCCAGAAAGGACCCAACACGCTTGTCCCTGGAATCTGAAGTCCATCCTTCTACCTTGAAATTGGTCTTTGTACGTGAGGCAGGTTCATACACCAGCTCAGTTCTTCTCAAACAAAATGGCCCCAGGCTGGGCTGCCTCCCCTGCAACCTGGCTTCAGGGCCTGTTTTGTAAAGTGAGGTTGCTGGGCGAGCCACTTGGAAGCTCCCAACTGGCTTCAGACAGCCAGGCAAAGCAAACAGCATGACTCCAGCAGAAATAAAACTTAGATTTGGGCAGAACGCGGCTCAGGCCTTTAGGTTCCGCAGTGGTCCGTGTGGATTCAGTTTCCTTCATCAGATGCCCATGGAGCACACGGGACGTGTCCCTGCCCTCCATCCTGGAGCTTTGGGGAGACGGGCCGGCGTGTGGAGTCCCCAGCTGCCCCTCAAGGGCACCATCTTCAGTGTTGGGGCTCAGGGCCCCCAGACCCACCCACAGGGCAGGCCAGCCCGGCATGCAGTGGCATCGAGCCTGCATCCTGCACAGGCCTACTCCCTGGGCGGCCAGGAGACGTAGGGGGCACCTGTCACAGGGACTTCTTGATGCTCGCCCCTATGGGGCCTCCCTGGGAACACTTGGGCCCGGGATGAGGTGCAGGGCCCCTCTTCCACGATCCCTCCTCTCGGCTCTTGGCATGTATGTTCCCAGTGCCCGAGCATCCAAGGGACCTGTCTCTGCGGAGTA